GAGCAATAGGGTTCAGAGACCCTTCGAACCAAGGGTGGGAGGGCAAGTTTTTGTCCAAAAAACAAGCGGGTTCGAAAAAGGCTCGTAGTGATACAACGAGGCAGAGGGGAAACTGAAGCGGATGAGGGAGAGAGAGGAAGCGGTGGAAGATTCTCAGAGGGATTGCGAGTGCGAGAGAGAACTTGTGAGATGGTAGACACAACCTCTTCAAGGAAAGTCTCATCTCAGGGCGACAGTCGGTGCGCTCAACCGTTCCCTGATGATTACTCATCACTCCTCACAACTCTTGTGCTTTCGGGGTATCCGCTGGTTTCCTGAGAAATGGACCACGCTCGATCCTCGTGCCAGCGTCACAACCATACATCCATTTCTTTTCCGGTGATTCACGCGGAAGACAAAGGTCAAAGATGTTACACATCTTTTGTAATCTTTGTTTTCAAATACAACGCCAAGTATTTGTGCTCTGGCGTAGAACTTGTTCTCACTGAGTGAGAATGAGGTCTACTGAGCTGCAGGTGTGAAACACCTAGCAAAGGAAAACAGTCCCCGTCCAGTCAGTCTTCTCAGACCACTAGGACGGGGAGTGCTCTGCTATCAGAATCTACGAGCAATAGGGTTCAGAGACCCTTCAAACCCAATCAAGGGCTCGAAGGATCTTGGAGCCTAGACCCTTCCAAAGGGGCTATGAACCCCAATCTCGAAGATTCTGAAGCGCATGAATCCTTCTAAACTCAGCCAGTATTGGCCATTAGGTAATTCAACTTATAGGTTACCGCCAAGGGGTTGTAATTCTAGCGACAAGGTTGTCAAAACACATTCAGGGAGATGAAGACAAGCAAAATTTTATATCAAGACAAGGCAAAAACAAAAAGCGCAACAATCTATCTGGTGCGCAATTCTTTTGCGAGACGCCTCGTCTCTTTCGCCACCCTACTACTGCATGGCCTAAGGTACAGTTTGTAAGCTGAGGATCTCCATCTACCAGCCTTTTGTAAAGAACGTGTCGAGCATCCCAAATGAGCCTTAAGTGAAGCGCCCCCTATCCTTAAGCTATGGCCTGACCAAGACGAGTCACCTCGAGGGTTACCTCTACGTAAAAAGGTAATGACTGAGCACCTGGTGATTGGACCGGAATCATCTTGTGCAGGGAACAGCGGATCGTTTGGCCTTCCTTGCCGACTTAAGAGAGCTGACAAAGTTGCCACCGGGTCTAGATAATTCGGTTGGCATGACACGTTAAGGTATTGTGCTTCGCCGGGAGCAGCCGTTTTTGCGTAGCGTATTTTTAAGGTCGCATTTCTTCCGTCTGGTGCTATTCTGACATCTTTCCGTCGTATAAAGACTGACGCATTGTCCGTTCGCCTCACCAACTCTCCCAGGCGAGCGAGTCCCCAGAAGCCGACTAAGATCACTCTGAGACGTCGGATCCAATGGCAGGATGAGCCTGTTGATATCCATTAAAGTCAGACCTAGGCGTTCTTGGTGTGATGGCGAGACCTCCGTTTTCCGCACAGCTTTGAGTAGGATTTGCAGCCTGTCGATATTAACGTCAGGGAAAGTCAAATCATGTAAAACGTGCCACATTCGTAGGCCGGTGATGTATTGTTTAGTTGTATCACTCAGCACCTTATGATTTCCTTCTTGATCACTGCACCACACGACGAACATATAAATCATTTGCGGAGTCGTTGGGAATAGTACAACTGGGTATGAATTCATAAATTTAAAATATTTGTTAACCAATGCTGCATAGTGTTTCACCGTTGATAAGGCCCAGCCTTTATGTAAGATGACTTCGCTGGCCTTGTCTAGCTGTTGAAAGACCCCCGGGCTCGTTTGACAAAGTACGTCGTGAGGTGACAACATTATCAGACAATTGCGAGGGTTGGTTTTTTAGGGAATACTTGCTGGATGAGTGGAAATAAGTCTGATGGGATATCGATAGTGAGCATGTCCTTTTTATCTTTCGACGGGTCGAAGCCTCTAGATAGGCAGTCAGCTTTGTTGTTGCCTGAGATGACCCTTACCAAATTTAAATCACAATCGTTTTTGATTAATAGAGTCTGGACTAGTTTCCATTCTTCATTAACCCAGTAATCCCTCGATTTTCTATTTCTTGCAGCGCCTTCTGTTGTAGTGTTGTCGGTCAGGCATGAGAATGTAAACCCTGCCAACTTGGTCTTTGTTTTCAGCATCAGGAGTCCTAGGCGTACGGCGACCGTTTCAGCCCAAGCGATAGATCGTTTGGGCTGACCTTCGGGTGTTTTCCAACCTTCTATCCATCTGAACTGGGCCCATGACTTACCAATGATAATGCCAATACTGTATTCGCTGGAAGCATCGCCTACCCACCCCACGTTTTTTACAATGTGATCTGGTAGGACTCTAGTCGGTTCTAAATCTTTTAATACGGACTTCCAATGGATCAAATCTTCTTTCACATCGTCAGGCATCCTTCTCTTTCCCGGAGTTCTCCAAACAGCTACCCAACGATAGTTAGCGGCTAAGTAAGCTTTTAGTTGTGGTAGTATTAATGTTAAATGACCAAGTTTTCCGTTAAACTTCTCCACCTCATTTCGTGAAAACCACTCTTTTGCCATAAATGTTTCGAGTTCTAGTTTTCGCCTTTCTAGCTTAACTTCTGGTAGATAGACTGTACTAGTCTTGCAATTCCATAGAAAACCTATGAATTTTTGCTCATAAGCGAATTCCGAGTACTTAGTCGAATTTGTCTTGACCCCTAGTTCCTCGCTCGCTAGCACAATGTCCACCATAGATACCTTGTCGTGTTTCCTTTTAACCATAAGGTTATCATCAACCCATCAAAATGCAGCCTTCAATTTGAACTTTCGTTTCATCAACTTTTTCCATCCGTCAGCCGGGCCTCCAAAGGATCCACAGCCTGCCACTCCGCCAAAAGCTATTCTAACATCAATATAAATCATATCGTCAAATCCCTTTATTGCTAAGAAAGGCCATTGTGAGAAGTGTGTTGGAATTTGTCTATAAGCCCCTTCCCAATCAAAAATACCAAGGAGAACTTCTTCGTCTAAATTTTTAAAAAATAAAACTACAACCTTAAAATCGTCCCAAGTAGTTTTGAAATCTCTCTTATCCACAAAAGAATTAACAGATGGAATATTGTCGTCGAATTTAGGGAAAGATAAGTCGTTAATCGGCCTGAAAGAGCCATCATTATTAATTACTGCACCTAATGGACTTGTCCTAAAAAACCCTAGCTTTTCGTAAACTTCTTCTTTAGAAAAAGGGCCGAACATGCGGCCTAATTTTATTTCTTTCTCTATGTTTGCTTCTATCTTTCCTTTTGCATCTTCCGCCAATTTGTGATTTGGAGGTGAATACCATCTTTCATTTAATATTTTGTGTTTCGGGATTCCTTGATGGAATACTTCTGCAAAACCTTCTAGTAAATAATGAAACTCGTCTAATAAACCATATCTTGTCAATTGTTCTTCCCAGAGTGGGATGTTCATCTCGCATTTTACAATTGTTGGCCATGTTTTTATCATTTTGTTTTTAAAGACACTTAAGTTATCAATCGTTTCTGATCTCTTTCTTTTCATTGGTTCACTGTATCATTTTCCAACATAATTTCATTACACTCAATACAAATTTGATACAAAAAAGGAACCTCTATCTATAATAATCTTAAAGTACAAATGAGAGCTTACGCCATCTTCTCCTTTGAAGTTGACTGTTTCGGCTCAACAGTGTCCTTTTTCACAGTTTTGTTACTCGGAATATAATTTTCGTCACTTTAATCATCAGAAACAACTTTATCAATATTTTTTAATGGTCGGCGGTACCCAAAGGAACGACGGTACCGCCAATTTCCATGACATGGTGATATCAGCTCGGGGCTATGCTGAGGAGTATCCTCCTACCGAGGATACTCACTCTCAAACGCGGAGTTGGGAAATGTTGTGGAGGAGTGAAAAGTTTTTCATCTCTTCTCCCCTTCCCTCTCACAACCCCGCGTTTCTCTTCCCCGACCGCTGAGCATATCTCACCATTGGCTGAGAAATTCCTCACCTTCATTTCTCTCTCTCACGCTATCATCCTTTTTTCGTCAATACTACCAGTGTTATTTTCACAGTAACCTGGCTCACCAAAGTTATAAACAACCTCCTTTCAGATTAATCCGCAAGCAAAATTACGCAAGTCAAGACAGTGCTACTTTTCAGTAACCTGTCCAGCAATATCCACTTTTATTATACACGTCAAGTCAGATACAGTGTGACTTTTCAGTAACCTGTTCAGCAAGTGGAATAACGAAAGTTCAACAATGTCAAACAATAACAGGATCGAAACCAATCTGGAGAGGTTCAATAACTCTGTGAGGAGGATTAGTGAGAGAATCGCAAATAGAGCAGGATCAGCTCCTCCCAAAGGTTGACTACCGTCATCCGGCACATCCATTAGCCCTGTTGAACGCACGGAGACAACTGCAACCGATACCAACGCGAACTCAGCAAACACACAGGCAAATAGAGGACGTGCCAGGGGAAGAGGAAAGAGATCAACTAACGTCAATACTAGAGCAAGCACCGCCGCACGAAACCTCGCAGCTAACGCCGCAGGAGACTCCTCCAATGGAGCTAACACCGAAGTAGGTGTGGAGAACAACTCGAACAATACCGGTGCGAATCCCTCCACTGGAGACGCAGTCGTAGATTTGCAACCCACCGGAGGCAACGGTGATTCGACGTCCGTAGTAACCCAAGACGAGAGTTTACAGCCAGAGGCGCTCATTTCGAGAGACGAAGTGATTAACCCATCATCACGTAGGTTTCAACACATTGTTCTATCCACCGCTTATGGTGTTGCCACAGAAGTGAAGCCACAGATTTCTATGTGTTGCCATCAATTGATGTTGCCTCTAGGAGATGTTAACATGGAGAGTTATGTTTACTTACGATATTTTACGTCTATTCCTCTCCCGGCCCATAGCCACACGCTCACCTAGTCGCCGAAGTACGATGTCAGGCACTGGTGTGAGTCCACCACGTGGATTCCATTCCTGGTTGGCAGCCAATGGCCTTACCGTAACGGCAAAACCAGTCGAGAATCAGTCTACTCATGGACGAAACCAAAACCCCTTGATTGGACAACTCCAAGCAGTGACCTCTAAGTCTGCCTCTTCGACTCAGGCTACACGCACCAAACCAAAGAACAAGACCGTGGGTTTTTGTGACCTGTCCAACGTCGATGACGACGACCCGGTACTCGTGCAAAAGAACTCTAGCACTTCGGAGAAGGAGAAGGACAAGGTCGAATGCGGAGAAGAAGGCATAGACACAAACGGTTTAGTAGCTCTATCGAAGTATTTCGAAGATAAGATGGTAGCCCTAAAGGGGTACTTACCTTTGACGATCTTCAACCCCCAATGGCTCAAACAAGATCTCTTGCAACAGTCTGGCCGCACTCGCACCACGAAAGAGAAGCTTGAGGAGTCCTATGTCGGAATGAAAGTCCCTGTTGAATGGAAAATGTCATTCGGAGAATGGGTGGTCGCATTTGATCTGTTTGTGGCTTACCTGAGATACTACAAGCACGATGACGTGGCGAACCGGTTCGTCATACACAAGGAGAATGTGATGAATATTAAGAAGGAGAACTTCAATTGGCCCATGGCTTTCCGCTACGACATAGCAATCAGGACCACTGTTCTAACTGTCCGAAACGCGAACGGGAAGCTGGCAAATCCGGCAGTACGTGACGAGAAGATTGAACGTAACGCCTTTAGAGACACAGAACGTTACAACGATTTCCTACCGGCATACGCAGACCTAAACCCGTATAGCAATAATGGTCCAAAAGCTTACTTCAATCCGATAACTGGAGAGGACCTTAGGTCTACTTTCAATGGACAAACCGGAAGTAACGTTCACCACTCGAATCCTTTCTTACCCAACAACAACACCCCCTTTCCCAACGCCCCGAGCCGTCCTAATGCAAGGTCCTGGGCTTACGCGAATCAACCAGTCTACGACGGGCCAGGAGGTGTATCGTATGGAGGGTGGGATGATCGAAGAGGATCTGGTAGAAACGTGCGGGGTAGAGGTAGAAGCAGTGGGTACACTGGAGGGGGCCAGCACGGGAAAGACCACAGCCCCCCCCATTGTCGTTTCCACGATTCGTCGAGGAGAGGTGAAGGAAGTGGAGGCTGGCGTCGAGAGGAACGGAGAGATGACCGTCGTAATGATGAACAAGACTACAACAGTCACGGAAAGTTTAGAGGAAACCAGAAGGCGAAGTAAGCCATAAATTAGGTTCTCATTTTGAATGATGCTTTCTCTAGTTCAAAGCGTTCTTTGCTCCTCAAGAAGCTGGCCTCTGACTGTGTGTATCCGGCATGCCTCCACAATGCTTCATATTTCTTGATCTGTACCAAACTCACTTTGTGGGGTCGTGGGATCGTTCATTGTGATCTCATTTGATTTGTTGATACGCTACCGACTGTGCAGTTGTTCACGCAATGTATCCCACAATTGATTGGAGATATTCTTTGTTCTGGAAATCTGACTTGCGCTTGTCGTGAACTTCTTCACCCCTAGTTCCCACAGTGACAGTCGAGACATGAACCTGTCATCAGCTACAAGGCAAGAGGGAAGGAGATCTGTCCCGCAGGGTAGACCTGAACAAAACAATAGCAGAGTGAAATTGCTACCTTACAGTAACTCTGGTAACTCCTTCGACGCGAGATGGCCAGGTGAGTTGGCGAGATCGGAGCTAAACCTGTCCAAATGGCGCTCTTTGGTGGAATCTTTATCGATTGGTGGAGATGCAAAAGAAGTCCTAGAAGGTTGTGAGGTGGGATTTCATCAAGGAATACCCGATCATACTTTGGGCCCTTTGAGGTGGTTCACTCCAAAGAATCACGAGTCAGCTAAGTTAACGAAAGAGAAGATAACGAACACTTTAGAGAAAGAGAAGAGAGCTTTACGTATCTTTGGTCCGTTCTCCCATGAGGAGGTATATGAGAAGTTTGGTTTCTTTCGATCCAATCCTATGGGTAGCGTGATCAATGGCGACGGTTCCTTTCGCATTATAAACGACCTGTCTTTCCCACACGATAATCCAAAAACACCATCAGTGAACAGTTTTGTTGACAAGAAGGAATTCGTCACAAGCTGGGACGATTTTAATACCGTAATCTTCTTCTTCAAGAGAAATAATGGCGACCTGATGCTGGCTTTGTTCGACTGGGAGAAGGCGTACAGGCAAATAGCCACGCACCCTTCTCAATGGAGGTATCTATTCATTTTAGATTTGTATGACCGCCTGTGGATGGATACAAGGATCCAGTTCGGAGGTGTAGCGGGTTGTGGAGTGTTCGGTAGACCTGCTGACCTATGGCGGAAAATCATTGTGAAGTTCTTCAATCTCGAAACTGCCTTCCGTTGGGTAGATGACAACCTGCTAGTTAAAGAACGGACCAACAAAACGACCATCCAAGATATTGTGAATCTTAGCAACGATATGGGCGTGTCTTCAAATCCTGAAAAAGTCCACGATTTTGCGGATGAACAAAGGTATATTGGTTTCATTTGGAATGCTAAAGAACGAACGGTCAGGTTACCTGTCAAAAAATTGGAGGAACGAACAAACCAAGTTATTGAATTCTTAGTTCCGAACTCGTCGTTTTTTCACAAAGATGTTGATAAGTTCGTAGGCCGACTGGTACATACTTGTTTTATTGTTCCAAATTTACAGTGCTGCATGCCGAGCCTGTGGAGGTGGAAGAAGGAATGGCACAACTTGTCAGCCAAGAGGAAGCTCCCAAACGACGTCAAAGAAGATCTGATTGAATGGAGAGAAGCGTTACAAGCTTTCGATGTGAGAAGGATCATTCCAGACTTGACACCTGTCGACCTCGATTGGGTTGGTGACGCGTCGATGAAGGGTATTGGTGTGTTGATTGGTCAGAAGAAATGGGCGGAATTCACGCTTCTACCGGGATGGAACCAACCATTGGCAGACCTAGTTACACGTAACATCACATGGGCTGAGACTGTTGCCATACGGTTGGGTTTCATTTTGGTTAGCAAACTCGAGAACGTAGGTGGAAAGAAGTTGGTGGTACTTACGGATAACACTACCTCGCAGTCAGCAGTAGAAAAGAGGAGATCGGGAGATAGAGCAGTGAACGGTGAATGGCGAATGATACAAAAGCTGTTGTTGTCCTCACACGCAGATTTGGTAGCACACAGAGTCAAGACCGGGGACAATATGGCAGACTTGCTGTTGAGGGGGAAGGATAGTAGAGATATTGGCGATCGGGTCATCATAGAGATCCCGATCAATTTGAGTCCTTATGTGAAACAAGTGATCTGATGTTTTGAAATGTATAGAATGTGACATACCCTTTGATCCCTGCCCCAATTTTTTGCCTGCCCCCCGAGAGGCCGGACCCGACTTGTACTGCTCGACTCTCTGGCCTTGGTCGGAATGTAGTTGTCACGGGTTGAACACACCCGTGGTGGGCTTTCATAAGTTTTCCATTTAGAATTGAAGATAGTTCCTATAGACCATCGATTTTTCCACTTCACCCAGATAATGGAGTTCTCGAGAGGACAGGACGGTCTCGACGCGACCTCCTCGGACTGCGTCAAGACGTACCTCCTACATGGAAGCTGGGCTGACACCACACTGAAGCACTACAACGCTGGTGTGTCAAAATTAATGACCTTCACGCTAGAACGGAAAATCCATCGAACTCTCCTACTGCCGATCCGACCTGAGATCCTTTATCAGTTTGTCACCTGGGCCAGCCCTTCTTTACCAGATGATGGGACGGAACGAGGATCCGCGCCGATAAAATCGACAACAGTCAGGTCTTACTTATCAGGCATTAAAGCATGGCATTTGCTTCATGCGTTCGAGTACCCGCATTTTGCTACTCCGAGGGTGGAAGCGATCCTAAGGACGGCAACAAAGTTAGAGCTCCTGAAGGCACCAAAGGTACCAAAGAATCCGGTCTTGGTCGAAGATTTATTCACTCTGGTGGTAAAGTTGTCAGATGGTAGTTTGGAAGAGAAAGTGGCTTATACTGTAGCTCTCATTGCTTTCTGGGGGATGGCTCGACTGGGGGAGCTATTAAAATCTTTGACAAAAGCAAATCAAGTCAAAGTGAAAGACCTTGTCTGGGACCCGAAGGGCAACTTCTTTCAAATTCAAATCCGCGAAGCGAAAACAGCGGTTGTAGGGGAGGTTCAAGAGCTACATTGTCAATTCCAGCCATCAATTTTGGACCCAGTGGGGGCGGTAAAGCGGCTAATCGCTAGCACGGGCGCCACTGAGGATGACAATCTTTTCTCTTACCCGTGTGCTATCGGACGAACTACTTTGTCGAAAGGAAGGTGTCTCAAGATGTTCGAAGAGGCTTGGAAAGACACTTCTGGATGCAAGCTCACGGGACACTCTTTCAGAGTAGGCGGCGCCTGTAAGGTTCCTAAGAACCTTCACTGGAAATCGCACAAGGGACGCTGTGATGATCACAGCACGAGAGTTTCTAGAACCCAAGAGACCTTATTATTTCAAATCTATCAAAACACAGTACGTAAGACTGGTTCCAAAGGATAAGGGGTAGGAAGGTCAGTCCCGAATCACTCCTACAAGTCTGATTGAAAGTAAAGGAAAACAAGTATTTGAAATAAGGACTTTACCTGGTTCCAAAGGATAAGGGGTAGGAAGGTCAGTCCCGAATCACTGAGGAACCAAGCGTAGAAGTCAAAACAACTATATAAAGGAAATAGAAATCTGTCTGTTAATAATTAAGTAGTTTTGATATGTATCTTAGTATTTATGTATTGTAATGGCCGCAGGTCTTACAGTCTCCCCTCCTTTAAGGAAATGTTCGACCAGCCTTTAATGAAAAGAAAAGAAAAATTGAAAAATCAAAATCCAAAGAAAAGAAATAATTTGATTGAATCCTTCGACGAGGAGCAGTCACGTAGCACGTTATCTCTACTGAGAGAACTTAGAGAAGTTTGAGTTGTAAAAGGAGAACCAGAGAATTTTTTTTTTCTTCGTAATTCATTCTGTGTTGCATGAGGTGTCGTTTTGGCTACAAGCGTGTGGACATGGTTCTTCACTGTGTCTTTCCTTTATCGCCCAGGGGGGTTGTCGATCAGTTTTGATCGCGCCTTGACCAGGTCACCGTAGATGGGGTTTCTCAGGCTCAGGACGATGCCCAGAGTCAAGGGGAAGAGCTCCCCATCTACCGTGGCTGGTGGCCCTACCCCCCTCAGCCCCTTTTGGAGCTGGGGGCCCCCCCCCAAGAAACCTATGCCTACCTCACTCGCAGGGGTACGTTGTGGTTTGCCTAGGGCTCACCGGTTTAGACCTAGTGTGACACTTCCTACCACAAAATGCAATTAAAAAGACTATTTGAAAAATGACCCCTTGATATCGTCCAAGAGAGAATGGACTCACAAATATGCACGAGTAATGGTATTTTAAATTTTTACTTACTAATTTTGACCTTTATAATTAGGGTTCTTTCCTCTACCCCTATGCGGTCTTTGGTAAGGTGATGGAGATCTTTCTAACTTCAGACCTCGTCCTCTATCATTTCTCCTGTTATTTTTATAATCATTTCCTCTCTGAAAATTTGGTACTCTTAAAGTTGTAAAATCTTCATATTCGTCTAATTCTAAATCAGCTGAGTCATGATTTTTTCCGTACTTGTATCTGTTACCGTTTATCGGGCTAAATCTTTCCTTTTCCTGACCTTTTGCGTAAGCTGTAAAATTTTTTATATTATTAATTTTTAATAAACAAATCAATTGTTACCAACTTTACTTACGATTGTCCTTTGGAAGTATTCTTCCATCTTGTAAGGGGAGCACCGGAGGATCTGGGGATTTTTCCTGAGAGTCTGAGAGTGAGAGGATTCTGAGACTGAGAGAATACAGTTCCCCCGGTACACACATATCCCACAAGCATATTACATACACGGTGACTTAAAGGTTTTTGACGCAATTTTAAGGCAGAAATCTTAAGCCTCGGTACACCCTAGATGTCACAAGCTCAGCATTTTTTTCTTCACCCCGTGTTTCAATCAAAAATTCTTTCAGTTCC